TTTAGGGTTTAGGGCCAAACCCCAAAAACCCGTCGAAACCTACACCCAAAGCACTGAAAGCCTTTAAACCCTGAACCCCACACTTTCTCCCTTGAACTCCCATCCACTTCTTGAGGCTTCTGGCCATTAGTGGTGTCTGCGGACACCCGATGCCTCCACGAGCGATTTGGACTTTCGGGCTTAATATGTAGAGTGTAATGCTCGTCACGGTCTAGGGCTTGGGCTCAGGGCTTTAGGGTTTTCGGCTTCTGGCCTCCGCACATTTTAAGTTTTCTTGTTCTGATCGCCCTTTCCCTGAGTTTAGCACCTGGGGGGGGGGGGGGGGGGGNNGGGGGGGGGGGGGGGGTGAAGTTTAGCTTTGCGGGAAAACGTGGCTACTGTTTGCAAGTGGTCTCGGTGGGGTAGATCCCCCCTCCTAAACCCGCAGCAGGCACCTTTTCAACCCATACGAAACCTCAGCAAGGACAACCAGCAACGGGCACCTAGGCTCCCAAAGCCCCAGTCTTTTCGGTTAGCTGACTTTTTGTGCCCCGTGGTTAAGCATGCAACATCGCACCTGGAACCCGAGCCATCATCACCAAGATCAACATCCCCGGCGTTCCCGCGACGGCAGACCTGCATCCAGCTCCTCAGACTCTAAGCCGGACAACACCTCGAACCCCAAACCCTGAACCCTAATTATTCCGAACCCTCAAACCCTAAACCCTAAACCCTTTCAACCCTAATACCTTAACACCCTCAAGCCCTAAGTACCAGACGCTCAACTCAGATCCTTTGGGGCTCCAGTCTCCATCAAGCGTTCAACACAGGTATGACTAGCAACCCCCAAAACGTGGTCATCGATCTTCCGTACCAAATGGCATAGATAGCCTAGTTTGCGAAGATCTCTGCAAAACACGCCGCCAGCGCAGAAACCAAAGACTACATGAGAAGTACCCCCAAACCCTACACCCTAAATCGTAAACCCTAAATCTTAAACCCTAAACCCCAGACCCTAAACCCTAAACCCTAAATCCTAAATCCTAAACCCTAAATCTTAAACTAAACCCTAAGCCCTAAACCCAAGTCCATGAAGCAAAACCGGCCTACAGGAGCCAAGGTCGTCCCGGCGGGGCTGAAAGCAAACTGCCTCGGTTCAGGGTGCTTCGCCGTTTAGGGCTTACGGCCAGGGTGCGAGGTTAAGGTTTAGGGCTTTAGGGGTTTAGGGTTTAGGGCTTTAAAGCTTTAGGGTTTGAGGGTTTAGGGTTTTAGGGTTTAGGGTTTAAGGTTTTTCGGTTTAAGGGTTTTGGGTTTTGAAATTTCGGGCTTTAGGGCTCGAGGGTGTGCTTGAGGCATGGTCCTCGAATTCAAGGCAATGGAGGTGGCTGCAGCAGTAGGTGCTACTGTTGGTAGCCTTTTGGTAGTCATGATCATCGAAACTTTAGTCGTTCCCTAAACCCTAAACCCTAAACCCTAGACCGCAACACAAAGATGAGGAAGAAGAATCGCGGAAAGCGGAGCACTGACTGAGGCGCCGGCGATGGATTCTCCATGGCCTGTTTCGAGATTAGGAGTTGCAGGGCTTAGTGGTAGGGATCTCTTTTGGGGGTTCAGGGTTTTGGGGCTCATTATACTATAACTATAATAAGGAACCCCCAAAATAGTAGAGTTTATTAAAGTTTAGGGGGTTGGCGTTTGGAGTTCATGCGGCCGCTGGTATTTAGCCTTCTGGCGCTGATCGCAGCAGGCTTTCCTTAGCGGCTAACAACTACAATTACCATAGCTAGTACGAACTTCTATATTTTGCGCTTCGCACACTCTTGCAGCTGCGGCTGCTAATACTATATATGATGACTGTTTATGATCATTACTCCTGCGTTGTAGTAATGCTACACCGTGGCTGGTCTCGAAGCCCTGGAGCCATGGGATCCTTGCTCGCAAACGTGCAAGAACAGCATGAGAATGGTGACATGGTTCACGGATAGAGGGTTTAGGGCTTGGGGTTGAAAGCTTAACTAAGTCAATATGGTTCAAGGACAAGGATGTGATACCCTACTACCCTAGACCCGAATCCTAAACCCTAAACATCCCCAAACCGTAAACCCTAAACCCTAAAACCCTAAACCCTAAACCCTAAACCCTAAAACCCTAAACCCTACTACCCTACTACCCTAGACCCGAATTCTAACACTTCAAGCCGGCCTTGATCTCAGCGACCTCGCGGCCCACGCTTCGCGCGAGCCTTGCCATTCGTTGTAGTCGGCTTGAGCAGGGAGGCTCTCGTTTTTTGTTTACCGGCTTTAGGGGTTTTAGGGCTTAGGGTTCAGGGTTTTTGGGGGTTTTAGGGTCTCGTTTTTTCTTACCGGCTCAGGGTCTCGGGTGTAGGGCTTTTAAGGGTTTTAGGGTCTAGGGTTTGAAGGCTTCAGGTTTATAGGGTTTAGGGTTTAGGGTTTAGGGCTTTAGGGTTTTAGGGTTTCAGGTTTAGGGTTTAGGGTTCGGGGAGGGGTTGAACCCGAGTCCCTGCCTGGCGAAATCAAACCTACCCCGTCCCAACTACTTGAAATCCTGATATAGGGGCCTTATAATAATTAGAATAGGATTTGGGGCATATTCTAGTATAGTTGTAATAAGGAACCCCCAAAACCCTATTCTAATTCTTAAGGCCCCTACTTTGATCGATTCCTGCAAGGGCCAAGACAGGCCCTCGAACCCTCAGGATGCCCACGAATCCCGTAAGCACTAGGCGGCCTAGGGCCTCCCTAAACCCTAAACCCTAAACCCTAAACCCTAAACCCTAAACCCTAAACCCTAAACCCTAAGATAGAGGCCGTAATAGTTGGACTAGGGTGTTGGGGCATATGATACTATAACTATAAAGAGGAACCCCCAAAAATATTTATTTAGGCTCCTATAGTAGAGCTTGCAGTTTGGTGATGGGTTTCCGAAAATACGGGGCCCTAATATACTACCCTAAATAGCAGGATCCTTATTATAAGTCTAGGACATTTTCCGGTGGGTAGTTACCGTTATAGGAGCCTTATAGAAGGTCTATATACCTTATGGAAGCCTTATAGAAGCCCTATATACCCTAAACTCCGCATCTGTATTTTCCTTTAGAAGAAGGACCCCAACATGACCCTAAACCCTAAACCCTAACCCCTTGGTTTTCAGAAACTCCCAAAAAGGCGGTGTGGAGAAACCCGCCTGGCATCGTCGAGAAGACCCCCTCGCGAGCCCAGTTCTTCTGAGCCCTGCCGTGGCTGTGCGGTTTAGGGCTTAGGGTTTAGGTTTTTTAGGGTTTTAGGGTTTTAGGGTTTAGGATTTTAGGGTTTTAGGGTTTTAGGGTTTAGGGTTTCAGGGTTTAGGGTTTAGGGTTCAGGGTTTAGGGTTTAGGGATTCAGGTGTTTAGGGTTTAGGGTTTAGGGCCTACGCTGCAACAAAAAGCCTGCGCGCAAGCCCACGAACACACTGAGACTAAGACCACTAGGTTGGCCTTCGGGAAGTTTTGCTCGAAGCCCTACCACAGAGACTTGGAGTTTCGGCCTCCAATATTGGGGACTTTCGGCCTCCTATGTGACTTAGAGTTTCGGCCTCCACCTAAGGGGGCCGCGCTTTGCGACTTAGAGTGCCGGCCCAGTGCTGGCATCTGTTTTAGTGGGACCATGTTCTGGGGACTTTCGGCCTCCTGTGTGACTTAGAGTGTCGGCCTCCCCCATTGGGGGCCGCTTTCGGCCTTCTATGAGACTTAGAGTGTCGGCCTCTTTTTTGGCCTCCACCTGCGGACTCAGAACTTGGTGTGACTGCTGAGCCTGGAGGAAGCCAGGCCAGCCCGGGGGGCGGTGATCGGCTGCATCTGGGCTCTAGGGTTCCAGGGTTAAGGAGCTTTTGGATGTGGGCTGGTTTCTAGGTTTCTTAGTAGGACAGACGGTTACGGTTAAAGCTGTAGGGTGTCAAGTTTGCGTTGTTGTTGGTGGTGGTGGTGGTGGTGGTGGTGGTGGTGGTGGTGGCGGCGAGGGTGGCGCTGGTGGTGGTGGCGGCGAGGGTGGCGCCGGAGATGAAGGGGGGGTGGTCGGTCGTTTACAACGTCAACTGGTGAGGGTTGAGGGCCTGAGGCTGGTTGAATTTACAAGTACGATCGTCCAACTCTAAGTTTCTGTTCCCTCCGCAGCTTCTTGTCACAAGCTTGAGGGGAGGGCTTGTGCAGAACGGCTGGTGTTTAGCTAAGCCCGATTTTAAAACACCCTAAATGCTAAACCCCAAGCCCACGGGCCTATTCTTTGGGTTTGGATTTCGATTCAGATTTATAAGCTGTAGGGTTTCGGGTTCAGGGTTCAGGGTGTCGGCTGCTTGGTTCAAGAACTTGCTTTGGGCTTCGGCTTGTCTATAGTTTAGGGTTTAGGGTTTAGGGGATCAAAGCTCAGTCGTCGCAAAGCGCCGAAGTCTGGCATAATAGAAAGCCACGCAGGGACTGCAGGGAAATATCTTGGCCGTCGGCAATGCGATTCTTGCTGCACTTGCTGCAGCTGAGCATTGCTGTCTTCATCGGTTCTACCAGTAAACCCTAAACCCTAAACCCTAAACCAATAATATCAGTGTGTTTTGGGCCCCAAGAACCAAAACCCTCAAACCCAGCTCGGGGCTCCTGAAAAGTATCCAAGGAAGCTTCCTTGTTTCCAAAATGCTCGAAATGCAGGGCATCTGACTATGATTCCTTCCCAAGTCTACAAGACGCCTCACTATGATTTCAGAAGCCCCGCCAACGCCAAAAAGAAAAAACCTGGATGCTAAACTCCGAACTCCCAAAACATAGTGGCCTAAAGCCCTAAACCCGAACCCTAAACCCTAAACCCTAAGCCCTAAGCCCTAAACCCTAAACCCTAAACCCAGGCCTTTTGGGGCCTCAAAGGAACCCGCAAAGGAAGCCCTCGCCTGGCCCCAACGCCTCGCCCGCCAGGGATCCAGGCCTGCCAGGGCAACGGGCAAAAGCAGGGTTTAGGGGTTAGGGTTTAGGGTTTAGGGTTTAGGGTTTAGGCAGCAGAATATGGAAATCGATAGTCAATATCTACACAAGCCCGTGTATACATATATATATATATGTACATGTAAATGTATATATGTATATGTACATGAGTATGTATATGTACATGTATATGTATATGTATGTGTATATGTCTATGCATATGTATATGCGTGCGTTTGTCTAATTCAAACGATGCGTATATACTTAAGATATGCATTGAGAGAGCCAGAGAGACGGGTAGACAGAGAGACAGAAAGGCAGAGGGGGAGAGAGAGGGAGAGGGACAGACAGACAGAAAAACAGACAGATGGACAAACACACCGACAGACAGACTGACATACGTACATGAGCACATTAGGACGGCGAAGCCACGGCCATGCGCGATTCATTCTTGCCGATGTCCCTCCCCCTGTCTGTCTGAGCGATCCTAAGCCATACATAGCCATACCAGATTCTTCCCCAGCCAGTTCGTGCACTTGTGCAAATATGCTCCGCTAGGTTGGTGAGCTTGGTCAGCGGCGGTCTCAACAGATCCGCGGTGAGCTTGCCAGCTGGCGATGCGTCCAGGACAATGCAGCGACGCGTGCAACTGGGTTCTGTACTCTGCAGGTCTGGCCAAAGCCCGGGCCACTTGCATCTTCACTGGTTCCACCGTCTCCCGCAAGCCCGCCAACACATTCAGGAGGGTGGCGAGCTTTGAGGCATGATACAGCAGCGGAATGTGGGAGCATATCCTGTTTAGCCTCCTCTCCCTCGAATCAAAAAAGAGGTCGGTGGTTTTCTGCCGGTTTTCCCACTGCAACTGTCGTTGCTGGTAGATCATTTCCTCAAGGTGGTCGGAACCCCTCTAAACTGGTTTAGGGTTTCTAGAATTACAGCTTATGTTCCTGCTTAGTGTGTGAAGTTCACCGATGAGTGCTTGACCTACACAACAGAACCCTGAAGAATGCTAGTTACCATCTACAAGTATTCGGGCCCCAATGAATCCCTCAATAAACCCCATGAATCCTTATAGACCAAACTGGACACGTTCTAGGAACCCATAAGTATGTGTGTGTATATATATATGTATATATATATATACACATACGTAACCCAAACTATTCCGACCCGCAATGTTTCTCGGCTTGCCTCCCGCTCAGGGCCATTTGCGGGCAGGCTGCGGCGATGCGCTGCGGCAGACTAAATGTCAAGCAGGGTTTCAGGGTTAAGGGTTAAGAGTTTTGGGGTTTCATCATCATGTGTCATGTCCAAGGCAGGCTCGTCTCGCAGTTGATGGGAGGTTGGAAACTTGTGGCAACGACAACATCATCTGCCGAAGATATGAACTTACCCTGATTTCCGATTCCGTGTTCACCGTCCATGCTTGCTGCTTGCAAGAAGATCCGCTGCGTCTTTCTCATGATTCAAACACGCGCAATCCTCGGAGCTGGGAGTATCAGACACAAGCACGCGAGAAAGATGGAACGGGACTAGTGACTCGTAGTCTCCTGCTTAGCACCACAACCTCCATGTGTGGTTGTCTTCAACATGCCTGACCGAAGGCTTGAGCGAAAAAGTTGCAAGCTGTCAAGTCAAGGTTCCGGAAACTCAGTCCTTCAGAAAGGAAGGAGCTAGAGACTCACGAAATGTGAGTTGCAGCCAGACATTCCGCCCTGACGCAAACCATCCGACACTCATACGCTGTAACTCATGCGAGACGACTCCGATATATATATATATATATATATATATATGTATATATATGTATATACTCACCAAAATCACAAATTGAACCCACATGAATTCAATGCCTTTGCTACTTCCTACGAACCTGATATGCACTCACCCGGGACATAAAACCTGCCTCAGAGATTTGCACCCTACTTAGCAGACATACGCTCTCTGCCCTACTTGCATCCTAGTCACCCTAAACCCTAAACCCTAAACCCCTAAACCCCTAAACCCCTCAACCCTAAACCGCTTCAACCCTAAACCCTAAAAGCCTGCTTCTCCTTCACGTTTTGTCGAAAAAGCAAAAGAGGGGCACTGTTCGAGAGCCTCAAAGCCACTTAAGGCTTTCAGGCTTTTGCGCTCCGGGCTTTTCATCTCCAGGGGCTTGAGAGGCTTTGCAAAAGGCTCGCATGGGTGACGTTACTAATTTTGGGGGTTTTTTAATACTTCGAATAGGGCTTGGGGGTATATTATACTATAGGTAGAAGAAGGAACCCCCAAAACCCATTCTAATTATTAAGGCCTGTACAGGGTTTAGGGAGTAGGGTTTAGGTTCGGAAGGCTTCGGAGTCAAAGGCTTCCTGAGTTCAGCAACCAGGCCCGGATGTTTTTGGTCTGAGATAGAGTCCCGCTTCTTGGTGCGTAATGCATCTAAAAGCTACTCTGTATATACATATATTAAATATATATATATATATATATATATATATATACATAATGTCCTAAAACGTCTATAACATACTATAGCATATCAGAACTTCTTGGATCTGGGTGTAGGGTTGCCCGGGACTTCACGTCGGATAAGGCCCTTTAAAGCCTAAGATCCGACGGGAGACTTCCGCATCAGGGCCGCGCCGCACGCCGAAGTACAGCTTGGGAAGCTCGCCAAAAAAAGGTGGCGCAGCGGTTTGGGGTTTAAGGTTTTAGGGTTTTAGGGTTTTAGGGTTTTAGGGTTTAGGGTTTAGGGTTTAGGGTTCTAGGGTTTTGGGTTTTAGGGTTTAGGGTTCTAGGGTTGAGGGTTTTAGGGTTAGGGCTTTAGGGTTTTAGGGCTTTAGGGTTTTAGGGTTTAGGGTTTAGGATTGAGGGTCAGTCTTAGGGTCAGGGTTGAGACTTCGGGGAAGCATGTGCCAAGTGGCAAGAGATTTGGGAGGTCAGCGCGTGATATCCAAGTCGTATGGGGACCCAAACCATGAGAAGTACCTTATACTGTGCATGCCTGGGGATCCTGAAAACAACCCTAAACCCTAAACCCTAAACCCTAAACCCTAAACCCTAAACCCTAACCCCAAACCCTAAACCCTAAACCCTAAACCCTAAACCCTAAACCCTAAACCCTTCCCCTGCTACTTCTGACTCTCAGTCATCGGATTCTGCGGTTCAATCCCTCGATTTTTCAGGAACTTCCCGTTCGAGTGTCGTGCGGCAGCTGCGCCCCAAGCGCTAGAACCGGAAACCCTAAAGAGCGCAGGTAGGGTCTAGGAGTTGGGGTTGGGAGTCTATAAGGTCGGGTTTAGGGTTTAGGGTTTAGGGTTTAGGGTTTAGGGTTCAGAGTCTATAAGGTCTGGGGTTATTGCTGCTACTACTTCTTTGGGCCCCATGCATAGGAGCTCTTTTCAAGCACCTTCCAGGGCTTAGGATGTGAAGTGTTGCTTTCTTTCCTGGGTGCCTTTCAAAGTTTAAAGTTTAAGGATAAAGGGCTTAACGGCTGTGTGTGTGTGTGTTTCTCCTCAGGCCCCTAGGCTTGGAGGTTTAGTGTAGGAGGTAAAGGGCCCAACCTCAGAGGACAGGGCTTGGGGTTGAAGGGCTCAGGCTTTGGAAATCCGGGTCCCTAAACCCTAAACCCCAAGAGTGTGCGGTTTAGGGCCTAGGGCCGGCTACGCGGTTTTGACCTCAAAGACCTGGATGCTGTCGATCCTGCCGCGGCAAATGGGGCAAGTATCTCCTGGCCGCATCAACGCAGGGATGTTAGGACATCCTCGGCTGCTGTCGGAGGTTTCTTCGGTTCTATTGTTAGAAGTATGGGCCCGTAATATGGACCCTTAGGCCTTTCTAGGGACCCGTAAGGGTACATATATCAACCCTAGATTGGTGCTTAATCTGAAAAACAAAATGTAATTACTCAGACTCTGTCGAGCAAAAAAGAATAAAAACGTGGTTTGGGGCTTGGGCTTGAACGGAGAGGGCGGGGGGGGGGGGG